AGAATCTAGCAAATCTTCTAAAGTTCCAACCAAAAAGTAGATAAAGCTTGCTACAGTTTCCTTTTTATTGAGAGTAGCGTCAAACAAATGCTACAACTTTGGAAGTGTGAAGACCTCTAGAAGCAGTGGTTTGCAAGAGAAAAGGAGTTGTAAAAATTATCAACAATATTCTCCTCGTCTGTCAGTTTTGATCCAGCAATTGAAACCTTAGAATTCTTCCGTTTCTTCAAAGAATCAAAACTTGCAGATCCCGAATGGTACTTCTCTTTTCCACTAGATATCGTAGATTAGCGAACGGGAAAGGCATTTCTATCACTTTTTCCTAAATTTATTGATGGAGAAAACCAATTTGTTGTGAGAAATGAAGGGAAAGCGAGGGTAGAGGAGGACATATTTGGTGGCCATGGTGGTGACTGCATCAATGTTCGTGCTATCAAATAAATGATCAAATGATGATTGCTTACACTTGTACCACTCAAAAGATTGTTTAAAAGGATAATTAACACTTAATGTCCACACCTTTCATTATTATTATGGAAATCGTTCTTACCTTTCATTTTTTGGCATTTGCATCCTTATTTTCAAATTTAATTGCGCAAAATATTATTTTCATCCATTTTCTCAACTAACAATTGTGAAATGACGAAAATACATTTTCATTTAAATAAAACAAAAGAAAAAAACTAATTGCAAATATAATCCTAACTTTTTTTGAAAAGTGCAAATGAGTTCCAAATAAATTATTAAAAATGTAATTATCACATAATATTCATACCTTTCACTATTATTGCATAAAACATCGCTACCTTTTATTTTTTGACATTTTCTCCCTTATTTATATTTTGATAACGCAAACCGTCATTTATATCCATTTTCTTAATAAACAACTGTGAAATAATGAATATACTTTCATATTTAAATAAAAAAAATATTTTTTAATATATAATTCTTCAATAATTTATTTGAGACTCGTTTGCACTTTTAATTTTTTAAAATTTTTTTAAATAAATTTAATTTGAACTCGTTTGCACTTTTTTAAAAAATTGGGAGAATGGTTGCAATTAATTCTTTAACTTTTTTATTTAAATATGAGGGTATATTCATTATCTCACTGTTTTTATTGAGAAATTGGATGAA